GTAGGTAGGGGTCGATAACAGCGAATTGGAGATTGGAGTTAGGTGTCATTGGGCTAGGGATGGGGTTTGGCTACAGTGTCTTGGAGGTTTGGTAACAATGGGTGAGGATGGGGTTGGCTACAGTGAGTTGGGGTGGGGTAGGGAGAGGGGTTGACGAGGCGCAAGTTGGCCGTGCTGGGGTGGGGTGGGCTTAATGCTGCCGGTGTATGCCCGTCCACGTGGGCCTCATTACATGCCCTTTAGGTGTTGTTTTGTATGTGCATTCGAAACAAGTCGGCCGATTCTTTCCTGGGATGCCGTTGATGTCGTTGTTTACGAGTCTGAGTCCTTAACTGATATCTGAGTCTTCCTCTCTCCTCTGTTGTAACTGTGTAGGCCTGGTTGATTTTTTTATAGGGGATTTTTGTTATCGTGATTTATTTATTTATTTATTATCTATCTATCTATCTATCTATCTATCTATCTATCTTCCTATCAATCTATCTTTCTATCTATCTATCTATCTATCTATCTATCTATCTATTTTTGTTGATCCACTACTCGGAGAGTCTCTTTCTCTCTCTCTCTCTCTCTCTCTGTCTCTGTCTCTGTCTCTGTCTCTGTCTCTGTCTCTGTCTCTGTCTCTGTCTCTGTCTCTGTCTCTGTCTCTGTCTCTGTCTCTGTCTCTGTCTCTGTCTCTGTCTCTCTCTCTCTCTCTCTCTCTCTCTCTCTCTCTCTCTCTCTCTCTCTCTCTCTCTCTCTCTCTCTCTCTCTCTGTGAGTGTGTGAGTATGTGTCTGTGTCTGTGTCCGTCTGTCTGTCTGTCTATCTGGCTGTCTGTCTGGCTGTGTGTGTGTTTGTGTCTGTCTGTGTCGACCTCGGACATGGTCTGTCTCGTACCTTTCACCCTTCCACCCTTCCCTCCTTCTCCCCTTCTCCTCTTTCACCTCTTGTCATCCCTGAGGAGGGGTAATCAAATTACTTAGCCGTAGGTAGTGTTCAAAATGTTGGATATAACTTAACCCCGCCCGCATGCTCCTCGCTCGGGTTTGGGTCAAAGGTCATTTAAGGGATTTTGTAGCGCGGTGTCATGTTTTACACGCCATGTTTTTCGAACCCAGGACATCTTTTTAATGGTCGAAGGATGGTTTTATTCGCTCGTATCGGGTAGACTGGAGGTTGCTGTTTTTTTTAAAATATTTTATGATGTGATTAAGGACAGTTATGAAGATAGTTTTGGTCCGCCTGTTATAGACGTAGTAAGTAGTTATCTTGCGTTGCGTGTGTGTGTGTGTGTGTAAAAGTTGGCCGTTTAAAGGGAAAATACTAGTTTGTGGTGGGGGCTACGTTGCCGTGAGTGCTTCGGTGGCGAAGATTACGTAAAAGAGAGATTTACATAAAGAGAAAAAAAAAATGACATTGTGTTCTGAGGGCAAGTTTTTCAATAGACGTTCGATATCTTTCACCGCGTTGTTTGATGTGTTGTGTTCATATGGATGATATAGATACAAGATTATAGAAACCAGAAAGGCCATATCCTTAACTAAGGGTGACTCGTGGTTTGCGTCCCTTAGATTAAATGCGATACCAAACCCACACTTGTTTGTTTTTTGTGTGATTCATATGTCCACACATTCGGAAACACCGGCTTGACAACTTGCTTTTTATGTTGTTAACTATAGCTAATTTTAATTCGAGGCCTAAACAGGTACAACTAAAAGAGATTCAGCCAAATGTAGCTCGTATCAAAGGATTTTTTTTTAATTTGCCTTCCGCCACAGTCCATCAACTGACTCCAGAAAGGGTTATTATTATAGTGTTGAAAATAAACAAGGATGATAAGAAATAAACCATAGTGAGGGAAAATTGTTCATCTCGCATCATCTCTGCTATCTTGAGATATGGCGTGGTGTATTCTTGAACCATTGAGCCAGTAGGAATATTGGAGATACAACGATTAATAACGCTATTTAGACTTAATATCTTGTTTTAATGATATATAAAGTGATTGATGACCTGAGCGATTAATTGATTAATAATTATTTTTATTAGGTCGACTGAATAACATGTTTTGCGGATATAGGGAGTATGTTTGGTATGTAAGTTATTACGTGGGACCATTACGAAGGCGAACCGGGTGTTTCGCCGCTTGGTCCTTGTAAGTGCTCCCAGCCGACGCCGTTTCCAAGCTTTAAGCTGCTTGCACTAAGTCCCCCGGGATCTTTGCGCTCCTCCCTTGCTTTTTTATCTTTTTTTTTTTTTTCCTTTTTTACTCTCCTGAATTCTGCCTGGAGGAGTGACGAGTAAATACGAGGGTGAGGGTTGTCTGCTATCGGGTGGGGGGAGGGGAGCAGAAGCAGCCTCGAGGAATATGAGGGCCAGAAGGGAACCCGTGAGGGAAAAGGAGGGGGGCGTGAGTAACCCGAGGTTCGTCGCAGTGCCTCTTCCTCCCCCTCGCTCTCGTCCTTCCCTCCCTCTTCCCTCCTCTCCTCTTCATTTCCCTCCCTCTCTCCTTCCTCCTCTCTCTCCTCTTCTCTCTTCCCTCTTCCTTACCCTGTTCTAACCCCCCCTCTTCCTCTATTTCCTCCTCTCCTTTCTTTTCATCCTTCTCCATCCTTCCCTTCTTCATCTCCCCTCCTCATCCCCCTCTTCCTCCTCATTCCCCCCTCTTTCTTCCCCCGCTTCTCCCCTTCCCCCTTCCCCTACTCTCTCCTCCCTCCCTCCCTCCTCTTCCTCTCCCTCTCCCCTCACCCCCTCCACTTGCTACATTGTTATGCGCGGGGGACGTCTCTCCTCCCTATATGGTGGGGAGGGCCGCCCCGGCTCTCCGTTCCGACGCGCGCCTTCTTCTGCCTCGTCTTCGTTTCGGTTTGTCCTCTCTCTCCTCTCTCCTGTCTCCTATCTCTTATCTCTTCACTCCCATCTGTCTCCCCTGTCTCCTATCTCCTCTCTCTTACATCTCTCTCCTATCCCCTATCTGCTATTCCCTATCTTCTCTCTCTCCTTCACCTCTCTCGTCTCTCGTCTCTCCTCTCTCATCTCTCCTCTCTCCTCTCTCTCCTCTCTCTCCTCTCTCTCCTCTCTCTCCTATCCCTTATTTTCTGTCTCCTCTCTCCTCTCCCCTTTGTCCTGTCTCTTAAGATATCATTATTATCCCAAGCGGAGTTACATCGTCTCCCACTCCATCTCCGCGCTCATTATCCCTGTCTTATCTCGTGGATGGATTGTGTTATGCTGTGTCTTTTTTTTCTCGAGGTTATTCAAAGTATGTCTCCTCCTTTGTTGAGGGGTATTCAGGTCAGATTTGATGCTCTGGTTGAGTACTGCCTGGAGCGCTACTTTATTCTCGTGGTTTTTCTTTCTCTGTCTCCTTTTTTTTTCTTATCCTCCCTCGCCCCTCTTCGTCTGTATGATCCGCTTCCTTCTGCTTCCAAATCTCAGTCAACACTTAAAGCTTCAACTCTATCTTTGTCTCTGTCTCTCTTTCTATCTCAGTCTCTGGCTCTACCTCTACCTCTGCTTCGACCTCTGCCTCCCTTTCTCCTTCCACTCCTCCTCTTGCTTCTTCTTCTTCCTCCTCCTCCTCCTCCTCCTCCTCCTCCTCCTCCTCCTCCTCCTCCTCCTCCTCCTCCTCCTCCTCCTCCTCCTCCGCCTCCGCCTCTCTTCCGCCTCCTCTTCCTCCTGCTCTCCTCCTCCTGCTCTTCCTCCTCCTCCTCTTCCTCCGCCACCCCTCCTCCGCCTCTCTTCCGCCTCCTCTTCCTCCTGCTCTTCCTCCTCCTGCTCTTCCTCCTCCACCCCCCTCCGCCTCTCTTCCGCCTCCTTTTCTTCCTCCTCCTCTTCCTCCTCTACCCCCCTACGCCTCCCTTCTCCCCTCCCCCCTCTTAGTCACCGCCCTCGACCCTTCCGCCTGCTCCTTCCTCATCCCGTTCTCATTATGCTGTTCCTTGGCCAGTCCGTGTTGTGACGGCCGACTCGCCATGGCCAGACATCCTTCATTGGCACAGTTTGAAATTCAGATGCGGGGGCTCATCTGAATACGGAGGCGGCCCGCTGCCGAAATTTATCGTCGTTTCGTTTCGCCTTCACCGCTGCCGCTGCCGCCTCCTCCTCCACCTCGTGGGATACCTCCGCCGCGGGCTCTACCCTCGGTTCCTGATTTTTTTCCCCTTTTGGGTTCGTTTTGGTCAGCGTCCTTGCCGAGCTGAGGAGGTTTGAGGATTTGAATTGTAAATTTTTATTTATTTTTTTTTTTTTGGGGGGGGAGGGGGGGAGAAAAAGGATAGATCTCGCGAGAAACGCACACGCGCGTTCAAATACTCATACACTTACACGTCTACGTACACGCACACGTAGAGTAAACGTGAAGAAATATCTCAGCCGTATTAAGAAAAAAAAAATAGAACGGATAACAATGTTTTGAGTCTAAGCGAAACTTACGAGGCGATGATAAAATGAAATAGGCCCATTGTTTCAACGTCTGATTAAGATTCTGGTTGTGCTCGAAAACATGATTGAATTGTTACTTTTTTTTAGATTGGCTGTATTAATTTTATGTGGCATAACTTATCCGTATTTGATTATTGTTTATTTATTCATTCATTGATTTATTTGTTTACTTATTTGTTTATTTATTTATCTGTACATTTATTTATTTGTTTTATGTAATGCCCGCGGGTGTCTGTTTCTGACCAAGTCACGGTACGTACATAGATAGGTTTGTGTTGCAATGCGGATATCGGCAGCGATTGCGGCGCGCCATATGGCATGCTATTGTGTCGACCGATAATGGAGGCACAGATCGATCTGTGACGTCATGGCATTGACAAAGTGCCGATCAGTATTCGATGCTAGCGTCGCCATCTACCGATCTTAGATAAGTCTCATTTTATTGTCAAGTGGCATTAAACAGACGTTCCTTTTATCGAGGTCCGTTTCTTGAGGTAAGGCTTAAAATTAGTCCCACGAATGAGAGTTGATTCGGCACTCATCTGATCTTTTTCTTTTTTTTCTTTTCTCCTCCAGGTGAAGCTCGAGCGTGTGCTTGGCCTCACGGTACCCAGTAACGCCGCCCTCGACTGTGACCCGCACTCCGGACAGGTCGCCTACCCCGCTGGGTGAGTATCACTTGGTGTCAGGATGACTTGATGGGTGGGTGGATGGGTGAGTGAATGAAAGGATGGATGGTTGGGTGGGTGGATGGATGGATAGATAGATAAGTAGATGGATGGATAAATAGATCTATAGATGGATGGATAAATAGATCTATAGATGGATGGATAAATAGATCTATTTGTGGATGGATAAATAGATCTATTTGTGGATGGATAAATAGATCTATAGATGGATGGATAAATAGATCTATTTGTGGATGGATAAATAGATCTATAGATGGATGGATAAATAGATCTATAGATGGATGGATAAATAGATCTATAGACGGATGGATAAATAGATGCATACATGGTTGGATAAATAGATCTATTTGTGGATGGATAAATAGATCAATAGATGGATGGATAAATAGATGCATACATGGTTGGTTATCTTCTTGGTTCTCTGGATCGTTGATTTTGTGGAAGTTTGTCTGTTAGTTTGGCTGCCTGTTTGGTGCGTTTGATTGGTCGTTCGCTCGGCTAGTTGCCTCTTTGGTTGCTAGCTTGTTTTGATGGTTGCATGACTACTTGTTTTGGTTGTTTATTTTGTTGTCTGTATGACTTTCTGACTTAATAGCTGGTATTGGTCGACTGAGTAGCTGACTATCTCTGTCTCTGTCTCTCTCTGTCTGACTCTCTCTGTCTGACTCTCTCTGTCTGTCTCTCTCTGCCTCTGTCTGTCTCTCTGCCTCTGTCTCTCTGTCTCTGCCTCTCTGCCTCTGCCTCTCTGCCTCTCTGCCTCTCTGCCTCTCTGCCTCTCTGCCTCTCTGCCTCTCTCTCTGCCTCTCTCTCTGCCTCTCTCTCTGCCCCTCTCTCTCTGCCCCTCTCTCTCTTTCTCTCTCTCTCTCTCTCTCTCTCTCTCTCTCTCTCTCTCTCTCTCTCTCTCTCTCTCTCTCTCTCTCTCTCTCTCTCTCTCTCTCTCTCTCTCTCTCTCTCTCTGTCAGTCTCTCTGTCAGTCTCTCTCTCTCTCTGTCAGTCTCTCTCTCTCTCTCTGTCAGTCTCTCTCTCTCTCTCTGTCAGTCTCTCTCTCTGTCAGTCTCTCTCTCTCTCTGTCAGTCTCTCTCTCTCTCTCTCTGTCAGTCTCTCTCTCTCTCTCTGTCAGTCTCTCTCTCTCTCTCTCTCAGTCTCTCTCTCTCTCTCTGTCAGTCTCTCTCTCTCTCTCTCTCTCTCTCTGTCAGTCTCTCTCTCTCTCTCTCTCTCTCTCTCTCTCTCTCTCTCTCTCTCTCTCTCTCTCTCTCTCTCTCTCTCTCTCTCTCTCTCTCTCTCTCTCTCTCGGGTTTGTGATGCAACTCGACGCTTTGTGATGACCATCGTGTTGTCGTCGGGTGGGGAGGAGTGGGGGTGGGGGGGCGAAGGTCATCCATGTCTATTTGCATTGCCTTCGACTCTCCTTGCTCTCGGGTAAACAACGCGGAAGAACTAAGCAAGAGCAGATGTTGTTTGGCCCCTTAGAGTGTTTTCCCTCTTCATTTTTTTTTCTTTTTCATTTCTTATTTCTCTTATTTTTTTCTTTTTCGTCATTTTATTCTTCCTCCTCGTCCTTTTCTTCTTCGTCTTCTTCGTCCACTTTGTCGTCTTCGTCCACTTTGTCTTCTTCGTCCACTTTGTCGTCTTCGTCTCTTCTTATTCTTCTTCGTCTTCATCTTCGTCTTCATCTTCTTCTTCTTCTTCTTCTTCTTCTTCTTCTTCTTCTTCTTCTTCTTCTTCTTCTTCTTCTTCTTCTTCTGGGGGCACAGTAGAGGGCATCGAGGGTGTGCTCCGGCATCGTGGTCGGTCGTCCAACGCTTCCGCAATGGTGGTGTGTGTTGCGCCCCCCCCCCTTCCCTCCCCCTGACATACTCTCCGATGCCCCTCTTTGTATTTTGTTTGGATCATTATCGTTGGGAATTTTTCGTTACCTTTTAATCTCCGGCTGATTAGAGGGGAAGAGCAAGGTGCCCTGTCGGCTAAAATGTTGCAAAAGGGGGGGAGGGGGGGGAGAGGGGGGCAGGAACTTGTCAATTCCGTTCACCGCATGTGCCACGGCCGCCGTGACTACGATCTCCTCCTTCCTTTCCTTTTCCCTTTCTTTTTTTTTTTCTTTGTCTTATTCTTTCAACTTACTCTTCCTTCTTTTTCCTCCTTTTCTTCTTTTTTTTCCTCATCTTCCTTTTTTTTTCTCTACCTCCTCCTCTTCTCCTCTCCCTCCTTTTCATCTTCTTCCTTTTCATCCTCCGTATCTTCCTCTTCCTCCTCAACTGTCTTTTCCTCTTCTTCCTCCTCCTCCTCCTCCTCCTCCTCCTCCTCCTCCTCCTCCTCCTCCTCCTCCTCCTCCTCCTCCTCCTCCTCCTCCTCCTCCGCCTTCTTCCCCTTCCTGACTGGGTCGCCCTGCCTCTGGCGGCATGACTCACACTCTCTACTCCAGCCCCTTGTCTCTCCCCTCCCCCTCCCTTCCTCCCCCTGCTTACCTCCCTCACCAACCCCAGACCTCCCCCTCTACCTCCCAAGCGCCCCTTCACTCCCCCTCCCCCCTCCCCCCTCTCACTCCCTCCCCCCTCGCTCCTCTCCCTCCCTCCCCCTAGCTCCTCCCACCCACCCCCTCCTGTGCACCTCTCACTCCCCCCCCCCCCCCCCCCCACGAATCCCCACCTGTCTTGCTACCTGTGCAAATACTTCCGCCTGTCCCACTGCATGTCCCGGTACTTCTTCCTGTTTCATTGCGCGTGTGGATACTTCCTTTCTGTTGTTGTTGTTGTTGTTGATGTTGATGTTGTTGTTGTTGTTGGTGGTGGTGGTGGCTTCGTTGCGGTCTCTGTCCTTGCTGTTGGTGGTTCCTCGCCCACCATGGGGTTTCGTAAGTACGGGGTATTAGCACATTTAGGCGTCGGGTTGTGTATAACTTGTTGCCAGATGGACTTTCGTAATCGTTTGGTCATTTTTTACGTTTTGGGTGGAAATTTCGATCTGTCTCCGTGCAATGGAATCTACACTCTCCCCCTCTCTCCCCCCCTCTCCCCCTCCCTCTTCGTTTTCTAGTGTTAAATTCCATGAAACCTGTGATCTGTTGAATGACTAACATGCCCCACGCGTGAGTCCAGGATACAAGATACTGCGCCATGTGTGATCTGATCTTCCTCCCTCCTCCCTCCCTTCCTCCATCCCTCTCTTTTGCCTCCATCCCTCTCTTTTGCCTCCATCCCTCTCTCTCTCTCTCTCTCTCTCTCTCTCTCTCTCTCTCTCTCTCTCTCTCTCTCTCTCTCTCTCTCTCTCTCTCTCTCTCTCTCCACCTCCCTCCTCCCTCCCTCCCTCCCTCCCTCCCTCCCTCCCTCCCTCCCTCCCTCCCTCCCTCCCTCCCTCCCTCCCTCCCTCCCTCCCTCATTTGCCAGCTATTAAGTACATGTAAACAATCAACCTCAGGGGGAGTGATAGTAATCCAAAAAAAAGACCCGTTTATATCGTTGACAGTGCTAAGATGAAAGTGACCTGATGCTGCGTGCTATATATCGTTCTCGGCTTGTTATTGCCCCTGTGGCATCGGTGACACTTTCACCTTTACAGCGTCATTACAACGTCGCCATCAGCTGCTTGATAGCTCCGTTATCTCCCTTCCTTCTTTGTTGCTCAAGGGTTTTATGGCACCCTTCGTCCTTCTGTCTGTCTCCGTCTCTGTTTATCTCTTTATCTGTTTGTCTGTCTGTCTGCTTGTGTTGCTGTACTCTTGCCTCTCTGTTTCACTCCCGGCCTCTCCGTTTTTTTGTTTTTCTGTATGTCTCTTTCTGTTTCTTGGCCTCTCTGTCTGTCGGTCTCTCTTCCTTTCTTCCCCTCTTCCTCTCTCCTCCTTCCCCCTCTCCCTTCCTCCTTCCCTTTCGTCATTTTTCTTTCTCCTATTTATCAAGTTGGTTGCTGTAGTTGGTTGGGCGAGTGTGGTTGTGCACTTGCAGTTACATTACAGCAATATTATAAATTGCAGTGGGAACACAAAGAATAGCGACAGGCTCCTCCTATGCTAGTGATGTTAGTCTTGCTAATGTTATTAAGCAATTTTGTCCGCTGGTGAATCCACGTACAACTACTAAGTCTTCATAAGCATTGATATTATTTTTGCGAAACAAATGTGTTATATAGTATATACAACCATATAAATAGTAGTATCGTGCCCTATAGGTCACGTGCTTACCTTCCAACCTGGAGCTCGCGTGATAATTACTACGCCAGTCGCAAGCATTTACCCAGATATGGGGAGAGATATTCTGTTTGGACATACTGTGAGAACCGGTCCCTGTCGTAGCCTTGACTCGCGGGGCGGCGGTCGTTGGATGACTGTTTTATCCCATTGATTACGTGGGATAATCTGGCGAGGATTGGATGACACGGGGCTGCCACGAGCTTCATTCGAAGCCCGTGGTAGCGGGAAGTGTGCCTCCCGTGCCCCTCGCTGGCTTGGGTTACGGTTACATCACGGGGCAGGGCGACGAGGTACCCTAGCCCGCCTCGGCCTTGTTACCTTGAGGGCCTCCTGTCTTGCTCCTGTTGCCAGCTGGTCTTTGATGAGGGTGGCAGGGGGCGGGCTTCCCCCCAGGACGCTGTATGGCGCGGCCTCCCCGTCGGCCGAACATTGTTTCTACGTCACAGCTTGGCGACGCGGCGGACGCAGATCCATGCAGTAAAGGGGAAGCACCGGATCAGAGATAGGACTCCCTCTGCTGCCCGCGAATTCCCCTCCGCCGCGCCGTGCTGTTTATTCCACCTCATGCTTTCCCTCGGCCGGCCGCGCTCACCTTCAGTCAGGCTTGACCACAATATTCACTCACTCTGGCCGCACTAATCGGCTCTGTTCGCGCCACGCTCTCTCTCGTCGCTTGCTGTTGCTGACGAGCGTGTAGTAAGCGCTTGCCTTGGATATACTCAGTCATCATTCACGCGTTCATTCTAGCTCAGTTTCCTGCAGGCGTACACTTTCATTTGAAACTTTCAGCTGCACA